GACGGGTTAATGTTTCAACGAAAGTTCGAAATAACACCCTTAAGGCCAAGGGCCTTCGCCAAAAAGAAGAGTTCGACCTCAATCGAACAAGGACGGGTTAACATTTCGACGAGAGTTCGAAATAATACCCCTAAGGCCGAAAGCCATCGCCAAAGAAAACTGGGACTCGCGACGGGATAATACTTCGATATAAGCTCGAAAGTAACATCCCTACGGCTAAGGCCGCTATTAGAAAAAGAATTCGAATACCATTCTGACTTTGATGGGTTAGGACCTCGACACAAGGTGAAAAGAATCGTCTCATTGGCTAAAGCCGTCATCAAGGCTCTACTCAACCCGCGAGACATTGAAATCCCCTAAGAAGCGGGAAGTCAGCACGCGGAAATCCACTTTGCATCAAAATTACGAAGAGCAAAACAGGTAAAGGAGTACAGAATGCATGTAACAATGAAAATTCCTCTTTATACAAAGCTACTGCGCAAACATCCGCAGATTACCTACAGCTAAAACCAACGGGGTCTAAGAAAAAACTATAATAAAAAAAAACGAACAAAGATAGCAATTCTTTCACTCGGCACCATCTCCAAGAGATCCGGCGTTGCAGATTCATATCCACAGTTAACACGAGCCTCTCGTGCCTTCGCCCGTGCTCCTTCATATGCGGCCTCGGTAACGTTGCCCGCCTCCTACAAACTCTTATAGATGTCCCGCTGGGCTTCAGCATGAACCCAAAGCTCGTGCAAATGACGGGGAACAGCGGCGGAGGAAGATTCGACTTGGGCCAACAGTTGCTCCTTTTCGGCCTCAAGAGCAGCGACCCGGTCCCCTAGGGTCGACGCCTCCCGGTCGATCTCACCGGTACGCTCCTCAAGCCTCGCTTCCATTAGCGTGGCCGTCGCCCTCTCCGATTCCTGCTCGGATTGGAGGATGCGGATGGTGTTCTCTAAAGCCGCCGCCCTTGCCAAAGCCGATGACCAGGCACTCTCGATATTTTCCAAACCGGCAACCTTTCTCTCCAACTCGGTCAACTTCCCCATCCACTCCGCGCTCATCGCCTCGACCCTGATAAGATTCTGATCCATCTCAGATTGCATAGACCTCAACTTCTCCTGAAGGTATTCGCACTCTGCAGCTACCCCTTTGCCCAACTCAAGCTCTTCATCCTTTGCACGAAGTTGCTCCTCGAGTACACTACTTCTACGAATAGACTCCATCAGTTACTGGTCCCTCTTCTCCAATTCCTCGCCGAAGGATCGAGCATCAGGGTTCGCCTTCAGCCGCTCGTGCATCTCACGGCACTTATCGCGATAGCGCCAATATTTCCCCAGCATCATCAGGAAAATCTTGGCCCGAGTATCAGCCCTACGAGCACTTTCAATCTCCACCATATACGTCTAAAAAACAAAAAGACGTGCTGAGGCCAGATCGGCAAGAAAAGCGAAAGGAACATGAAAGAAAAGTGAAACGTACCCTCAAGCCCATAGTGGCCACTTCATGCATCAAATCAATATCAGGAACGTTCCGAAGAGCCTCGCTCTCGGCGGCGGAGCACAAGAGGTCAAACTATGGCACCAGGTCGTCCGTATCTCCCAGAAGATTGATATCCGATGAAATCTCAAGAATACGGGACGACCCTCCCGCATGAACCACCGAACGGGTAAGACCCTCCTCAAACATCCTAACATCATCACGATCAAGATCATACGTTGATTCGTAGTCGTCGACTACGATACCCTTTCCCCTTTCTGCGGCCGAGGAAGAAGCACGACCAGGTACCGAGGACGAAGGTCCGTCCAAAGCAGTAGCAGCGGCCTCAGAAGTCTGACCCCCCGTCGCGGCAAGTTGCCGATCAATCATAACGGCGGGGATTTCCGTCGATGGGGCAGATATAACAGTTTGCGCCGTCTCTATAGGCGGAATGGCATCAACTCCCGCCTCAGATCCCGTCAAGGGAAGGTCTTCCTCTAAATATATCACGGCTAAAGGAGCCGTTTTGAACTCCACTCGCCGCCTCTTTGATGGCCCCTCCCCTTCTTCGGCACGGGAAGACTCCCCCGCTGGGGAGGTGACAGGGGTTGGAATCTCAGGTCGAGGGGTAACCTCCGCGCGTACCGCCGCAGCCGTAGATTCAACTGAAGCGGCCCTCGACAAAGGTCAAGCAGTAGACACCGAGGCCGGGCGAGCGGACAAGGCATGTTGACGCAAAGCTAGTGGAGGAGCCCTCGCTCTCCGCACTCTCCCTGGCATCGACAAACATCACATAAGAAGCCAAGTAGAAAGGGAAGGGGGAAGAATAGCGAACAAAAACAATATTACTCACCAGTAAGGGGCTTGCGTCCATATTTCTCATAGAAGGACGACCATGTACGGATCCCCGCCATATGAGGGAGGATGGCGCTCACCTAGTCGCGGATACCATCAACTGGCGCAGGGGGTAGTTTCGCGGCTATAAAAACACAGTTTAGTACTACCTAAAGGAAAGCAGTCGAACATCTCTCCGAAAAAAGGCATAGAAACTTACGTGCGAAGTTCCATTTCTCAGGGAACCCCGTAGGATCCGCCACAAGGTGCTCGGTCCGCACATAAAAGTAATTCTCGTAGAAGCGACGGTTGGCTCTATCGTCCATCTTCACCACCAGACTCTTCGACCCTCAGTAGCGCATGTGAATCATCATGCCACGGATGAGTTGAGGGGCGAAAATATTGAGCATGTGCCCCAAAGTGATCTCACGACCGGCAAGCTCCGCAAACTTGAGCAGCATGAGGAACAATTTATACAGGTACGGCGAAAGTTGAGCTGGACATACCTCGTAAAAGGAGCAAAAATCTACCACCAAGAGAGGGAGAGGAAGCGTGTATCCAACAATAAAGGGGTAGGCGTAGAACGCGCAATACCCTGGGCGGTCAAAATGGACTGTATCGTCCCCCACCGCCGGTAGTATTTCGACGTAGTGAGGGATTCCCCACCTAGCCTTCAATTCTGCGATCCCCTCCTCAGTTATGACAGAGGAAGCAGGTTCCGGCACCTCCCCGACAGGACTGTGAAAATCGCTCCATGCTTTCCCAGGGCGAGGCAAGATCTCAGCCACCGACGGGACCTCCTCATCTTCTACCACTTCTGCTCCTCCAGTGGCTAGAATATCACTTTCCGGCGCCGGAGTTGTGGCAGGGAGGTCAGCGCGAGAAGAATCACCAGCCATTTGTATCAATTTGGTAAAACAAAGGGATAAAGAAAAGGAAAGACAAAAGTTCCTGGCTAACCAGAGAAAATAAAAAATCCGAAGTATCAGGAGAAAAGAAGATTCCCAAAGTTCTCTCAAGTAAAGACAAAAAATGTGTCAATCGAATGGTGCATTCCTTCTATTTATAAGAGACATAAATTCCCCAAGCACGAAACCCAAGGGTCGCCAATTGAAGATGATAGGGCATGAAACGGTTCATCCCCTGGAAACGTGTGTTATAATAGCAGGCAACCATGAACAACGTTTCAAGATAAACGATACTCCAGTTCCGAAACGGCCACAATGGTTCGAGGATATCGCAAAGACGCCGTTACGTTACTTGAATCTAAAAACCATACCCAAGGGGCAGGTAGTCAGATTTCTCTTAGATATGTAACAATCTTAATCCATCCACCAGGCCCGACAAGAGACGACCCCGGCAGATGGAGGGACTAACTGTATTGGTCGAAATCTGACCGTTGTGATCGGCCCAACCGAGACCCCGTCCAAGCGGCGAGACAGTGGAAGACGACATGGATTGCTCCAAACCCCGTACTCACAATACCCGCCAAGTCAAAGAACGATACCTAGGGAACGACGAAAACGGACGTGGTATGAAAGTGTATTGACCCAAGAACATAGTGAGGATTCCATAACTATATATAGGGGGGAACCTTCCTAGAAATAGGGGGCTCTCTCTCTCCTCTGTAATCTTCTTTACAAGAAGAAGAAAAAGCAATCTTCCATGGATCATGTAAAACAGTCATCTCCATCAATTAATGAGAGAAGAAATGAAAAGTATCAATAAAATTGATCGCCCCTACTTCCTCGTATGCTTTACTTTCTGATTTGCTTATGGATCTGGAGTTTATTATGTTTGATTAAGATTTACCCCTTCATCCTTGTTAATTGGTTTAATAAAAAAGGTTTCAATATCTTTTGGGTCAAACATACACCAACAAAAGTCTTTTGAGTTCTCCACAAGTAAAGATTCATATGGTATTTCACGTAATGCATAAATGAATGTAGAAAGTCGAACGACATGAAAACTCTAATTAATAGTCATAACTCATAACTAAGCTACTAAACCAAATTCACTGTAGCTAGCTAAAGAGAATCGTTTTCTACACCTATATAAGAAAGCATTGCGTTTATAGCAAGTCTCATAATTTATACAGAACGTCATGGTAAGAGAAAGGTGAAATGTGAGGAATATTATATGTACCATTGCAAGGAATTATAGAAATATTAGCTGAGTCCTGACTCGTTTCGCTTTCTATATGTAGCCATGGATATAGGTGAAAAACCTATTGATCATCAGAACCATCGGACCAAATACGAGGAAAAGAATCGAAAGAAAACCAAAGTAACATCAAGAAGATTACACTTTAATTAGGGTTGAGGCCTCAAAATTGCCAAAGGGATTATCTTTAAGGGAAACTTTATGACATTCCTGCAGCAGTTTTGATCCTCAACCAGCCTATTGACAATATTAGCATGATTATATTACACTCAAATTCTTATCATGGGGCAGAACTGAACCTATAGCCAGAGATTGGAGGCTTCGTATTAATACTAGACATTGTGAGCTTACTCGATCCTGTTGCATAATCATGATAGGACAAATGATTCGCAATACATTGATCTCTCTATATTTTGTTATTTCTTGAAGTCAACATTAGCTTATCTTTACTCCATGAGATCTGAAATGATACGAGTACATTTCAGATATAAATCTCATGTCATATTCTAGGAATCTCAAAAGACTACTCTCTAATGTAAGAAAATGATACTTCCACAAAAAGTTGGATCTATTGTAAATTAAAGACGGAGTAAAATGTACATGAGTTGAGGAAATAGCAAGATATACACGAGTAAACAAACAAATACTATGTAGAAAGGCGCCTAATCACCAGCCCAAGTGTATGATGATGCTTTGCACAGCATGCTGAGCAGCCACCTAGATTTCACTGGATATTGTTATTCTCTCAATAACATCGCCAGCAATCTCACGAGGAGCTACAAAAGGTTTTGGGGGCATCTGCAGGAGTTCAACATCTCCTTCAAGCATTTCAACAACTTTGTTCATTGCAGGACGATCAGCAGGCTTCATCTGTATGCACCACAAAGCTACGATCATCATATTCTTTACCATTCTCCTATCTTCCTCGTTCGCGTTCTGCATCTCTATATCATTTCCTTCATTAAATTGGTCGTATACCCACGTAGGAAAGTAAATTTGGCTTAAATGATCCGCGAATGGGTTCAAGTTCTTCCTTCTGCCTGCCATTTCCATCAACAACATACCATAACTATATACATCGGCTTTGTATGACACTCCTCCAATATTTTTATAGAACAACTCTGGAGCCATGTAACCCATTGTCCCTCTCGCTGCAGTTAGACTCACTATACTATCATCTGTTGGGTACAGTTTCGCAAGCCCAAAGTCGGATATTTTTGGATTAAAATCTTCGTCCAGAAGAATGTTGTGAGGCTTAATGTCAAAATGTAAGATCTGCATGTCACAGCCCCGATGTAGGTAGTCTATCCCACGGGCAACTCCTAGAGATATCTCGAACATTTGTTTGTAACTCAAGGAAACAATCCCCTCTTGTGGAAATATGTACTTGTCTAAGGAACCATTTGGCATGAATTCGTATACCAAAGCACGTTTTGAGCCCTCAACGCAGAATCCAATGAGCTGCACAACATTAACATGGTGAATCCTTCCAATTGTGGAAACTTCACTGATAAATTCTTGCCCACTAGTCATGGATTTGTGCATCATCTTCACTGCAACAAAAGGACCACTACGGAGCTTTCCTTTAAAGACAGTTCCATAGGCTCCTTCGCCTAGTTTTTCCTTGAATTTATTAGTCATCTTCTTAATCTCAGAATAGGAGTACTTAATTGGCACAAGGTTGCTCTGCGTTTGCAGGAAGTCTTCAATTGATTGATACATAGATATGTGTCGTCTTCTCCATTTATACACGATTAGTGCTATCAGGAAAATGAATCCACAGAAAAACCGGAATGACAGAAGTGAAACTGCATAATATCAGAAAGAAAAAAGGATAAAGGATTTGACTAAAAGCTTCAAAGCTTGTTTTCACAATTCAGAGTGTACCAAGAATGGTTTGCCTAGTTGAGTAAGATAAGAAGACTCACTTAGAACTGTTCCGCCGTAAAATATCGTAAGAACTGTGAGAATGGCAAATCACAAAGGAAAATTACGTTAGAGGAAACAAATTTGTTAAAGACTTGAAGAAAGAGCTTACAGCTATGTGGTGCAGTTAAGGAGGATTATAATTGGAAAACATATTGAAGTTACCGCACTTCAGTATCTTAAATACGTACCACCATAGTAGTGGATGCTACCTGCATTATCCAAAAAACAAGGAACTTGAGTAAAATAGAGATGCTAAATCTTAAAATAAGTTGCTAAGAATTGAAAGTTCAGTAATTAAGAAGGAAACTAAAAAACATAAAAAAGAGTAGAGATCAAGATTTGCTTATAACTTCAAAAAACAGAACCCACAGGAGAGTGGATATAGAGAATGAAAGACCATAGACTAATCTTGCAAAGAATGACACCTTAAATATGAAACTTGAAAGTACAGTTAAAATTGCTCAGATGCTAGCTGCAGCATCAAGGAGATACTTCTGTCCTCAATATACTTATACTCCATCCACTATTTCCTTATTAGTCCATTCCCAAAAAGAGGACACATTTCCATATTTGAAAAAAATAAACTTTACACTCTCGACTTATTCTGTATGAGAACTTTTTATAGCTACACAAAAGTTATGATATGTTTAAAGCTTTATGTTTCAAAAGTCTTCGTTTCTTTATAAAATTCCGTGTCGAATCAGACTATGTGACATAAATTGGAACAAAGGGAGTAAGTTCAACAGTCATTGTTGCCACCAATCAGGACTCAGAACAAGCCACATATTCAAGTCAGCAATGGAATATTGTCAAACAAAACATATGGGGAAGGGGAATCCAACAAGTTAAACATAGTGAAAGGTAAAATGAATCTTGACTTACAAGGGAGGGGAAGATCCATCCCCGTGTCATCGTAGCAGCGGTGGTCGCAACTGTAGCCGTCGCCTTCAGCAAAACAGTTGCCTTGACTCGCTTCACATTCTCTACACAAGAAGGTACGCTTCCAAGAAAGCTCAAACCCATAACTCAGGGCATCCTGAATGCTCGATAGAGTCGTATTATCACCCGAAAGCCCACGAGCTGAGGCCCAGGCCACTATTTCCATGCTGCAATTCTCAGCCAAATCCGTAATAGACATGTCCTCTCCTATGGCCACATAACTATGACTTTGTGAAGAATTAAAGAAAGAAGTCTTGTTCTGTGAACCACAGAAAGTAGTCTTCACGTAGAGCGAAGGATCTACGGTGGTGGCTAAACAATTGACATATATAATGGGAATGTTAGGTGCAAAATAATCAAAAGGTGAGGTGCTAGGAACATTTGTGGTAAAGTAATTGGGAAGGGAAATACAGTTCGTGGTCTGATTCACCAAACCAGGGTCAACTGCTCTGATTAAGAATTGATCATAATTAATTTCCAGCACGTAATATTTCCTTGATTCCAAACTTATGACAGTACGATTGTTCGGGCAATCGAGCTGGAACCTTGAATCTCCGCAATTCTGGGGATCAGCTTTTAATCGAAAAGGAAACCTAATATGAATATCACCACAAGAAGAAGAACACCGACTATTGTTTTGGGCTTTGACTATCGTCGTGCAAATTACGAGCAGTAGAAAAGTAGAAATCCACAGCCGTCTTCTGGCAAACATCATATCTGCCGATCGACTGTGCTACCTCTGTTGTGTTGTTTGTTCCTTCATCGTACTAGCAAAGTGCGCAACTACGACATAATCAAAGGTATCAACGAGGTTGCTTCCTTGAATCTATAATTGAACAAGCTAATAATGCACAGGTTTGATCTGGTCAGAAAGTAGGATAATATCAAGATTAAAAGTCAATAGACAGTTGGATATATTGTGTTACCTGTTTTTATATGTATTTGCTAGCGCGCGTTTCAGTGGAAGTTGACTTTGAGTGCTTTGACTGGGGATTAGGCGTGAGGGTGTGGTATGAGAGACAGCCCTTTGTTTTTAGAAATAACTAGTGTTAGCATCCATGCGCGGACATTAATCATGTCAAATATTTATTTATTTGAATTATGTGTCAATAGTCTTAGAATTTAAACCTTCTTGATAAATATAGATAATTATTGAATATTAATTAAGAGACACTAAATGAAAAAGATTAATCATTTCTCAAATTTTCTAGTTATAGTTCTATTTTCTTTTTTGGTACCATTCTCAGCGGTGTCATTGGATCCCGAAAATAGTTAGGAAGCAAAATAATAACTCATATCTATGGCAAAACAATCAAAGGTTGAGACTATGAAGGATTCTTTGGATACGACTTGACTTTTGTATTACTACTTGAACTCTTATTTGGTGTGTTGATATCTTTCAAAAACTATATCTATTTTAAAATTTCAGTTTCAAAAACTTTATTTTTCAATAATAATTATTTTTATAATAATGGAAGTAAAAATATTATCCTTAATTCAAAAACTCAGTTTAGTCGGGTATCTAAAAATTTAAACAATTCTTTAGCCAGTGTATTTATTTTTCCAATATGACTCCATTTTGATATTTGACACTAACCATATTAAACATTTGAGTTATTTGAATTATATGTAAATAACCTTAAAATTTAAACCTTTTATATAATTATAGATATCGTTAGATATTAATTAGGAAATATACTATATGAAAAAAAAATTCAAATCTCGTAGTGATTTTTTTTTTTTTGCACCATTCTTGTTGGAGTCATTATAACCTAAAAATAGTCACGAAGCGAAATAATAACTCGTATTTGTGGCAGAGCATAAAGGCTGACGCAATATGAACGACTCTTTGGTTACGACGTGACTCTTTTACTATGACTCGAACTCTTCTTTGGTATGTTGTTATCTTTCAAAAAATATTTTATTTTGAAATTCCAATTGCTATGACTATATATATATATATATATATATATATATATATATATATATATATATATATATATATATATATATATATATATATATATATATATCAATAATGATTAGCTTTATAATGATGCAAGTGAATATATCATCCTTAATTTAAAATTTACTTTAATCGGCTATCTAAAAATTTAAATAATTTTTTAGCCAGTGAAACTTTATTTCAGTATGGCTCTATTTTGAGTTTATGGATATCTCTAGCCACAACTTTAAATTTTGAATACCCTATATATACAAATTTTTTGTTCTTTGGATCATTAAATGTTAAATTAGTTGATTGTTATTATATAACATTGCACATATTGTCTTAAAATTACCAAGTAGCTTTTTCTCGACACCATGCTTGGCTTAACATCAATGCAAACTACTCAAATTGCATCTAAATTCATATTCGAATATCATATCAGTTTGTTAGTAATAGTAATTTTTTAAAAACGACACACAATGTAAATTAGAAAAAAATATATTCTAAGATATCCTTATCTTATAATCTATGTATTTGAGTTGAAAAAAATGTTTTAAATCGATGAGATCAGCTTCCAAATTTTTTATACTCAACAGAGATAAAAGAGAAGAAGAAATTCGTTGTCATCTCTATTTTCTGGTTCTTAGATTTTTCATACATTTTTTTTCTATATTTATTTTCTTTTATCTTATTTTTTATGTCTTTCTTTCTTTTGTAACAAAAAATTAATTTATTTCGCTATAAAAGGATTATTTTTAATAGAAATTGTCTACGTAAGAAATTTATTTATATTTTTAATCTTTGGTTAAAATTATTTCATATTTTTCTTTTGGCTTTATCTATTCAACCTAAATATGTGCTCACCCAACCACTTAAATTAAAAAATTAAAGGATGTGCAATTTATATATAATCCATATATAATATGTGTATAATCATGTATTGTTAGTATATCATCTATGTATGTCAGCTATAAAAGATCAACGATAAATCTGGCCGGATATTTATGTAAATATTCCATAAGATTTCGGTTACTTGATTTCATCCATGATATGACTTCTATTATAATATTTTAAAATTTTCTACTAAAATTCAAAAATATCTTATCCTTTTATTTTTAAAATTACATATCTTAAAAAATAATCACATTTTGAAATAATTTTTTTACATTTTTAAAAAATAATATTTGGCGTCATACCATTTTTTTAAAATATACTTCTTGTTACACTTGAAAGTCGATATAGAAACTACCAATTAGAAATCAATATCCCTCTTGTTGAAATTCGAGAAATCTTTCACATAATTTAATGATTCAAAATTAATATTCTTCAATGAAAAAAATATTATACCCCTGCAATGTTGGGTTGACTGTAGCTAAATGAAAAGGTTTCAACTATACCCTTCAATTCCCAAAAGTGCTAAATTAAAATTAATGATAGCAATTGTATAACCAATATTTTGTTATTTTTTATGTCCATTTATACAATTTGACTCTTCAAACAAACATTCTTCAAAAAGAAAAAGAAAAAATAACTTTTTTTTTAATATTAACACATTTTTGTGATGTTTCTTTCTATAGCATGTAGGTTTACTTCATTATATATGTAAGTAAAATTTTACTTGATTTCTAAACTCCTTTTCGTTATTTGAATAAACATAGACATGTACCCTACATATTATATTTATTTTAAAAGAAATCTGCTTTATTCAAATCTATTGTGCTTTATTCAAATCTAGCTATAGTGTTTTAAAGAACTATAATTATAGGATTTTAGATGTGAAAGAGTTTAGAATTATATGAAGTAATTTTTTTTCTATTTTGCCAGAGGAAAAGTAGTATTTTAATACTTATAAAATATTAAAAAAAGTTCTTAATATGATTGCATATGATCATTAACTGAATTAAGCATGATAACAAAAGATAAAATTTCTTTTTATTTTTATTTTCATTCAAATTTTAAAGCTTTATCTATAAAATTCAAAATTATCTTTTAGTTCAAATTTAATTTTATATATATATATATATATATATATATATATATATATATATATATATATATATATATATATATATATATTTGTATTTGACTAACATAATCAAATATAGAATAAAGTTACCATACATTATTGGCATTTATTAGCATGCCACTTCGCGTAACCACAATGCTAATTATATTTGGTAACTTTATTCCTTTAATATATATATAGATTTTACCCATGGTGATTGAACTTTTGTGTTTGTTACCCAAAAGTTACTTTTCTTTTTTTTTTGTTACGTAAAAATTATTCAACTTTGTGTTCATTACACAAAAGTCACTTTTCTTTCTTTTGTTACACAAAAGTCATTTTACTTTGCTCTAGTTATCACAAAAGCCATATTTTTACTAGAAAAGCCTATTATGCCCTTGATATTATATCAACCTTCATATTTATGTAATACCTTTTTAACTATGTATTTTATTTATAAATAAAATAACTTAATATTGTTTTATTTATTATGTTTATAATATATTCGTATATTTAATTTTTTTTTCTTAACTTTAATTTTCAAGATATATTAGTAGCGTTATAAAACAACTTTTTTTCAGCAACTTTTTTTTGAATTCAATTGACCGACCAACTTTGGTTGGTATGCCTTTCCGACTTTCAAAATACCGACCACACGTTAATGGTCGCGTTTAGGACGGTTATTCGCCATTACCGACCAACTTTGGTCAATTTTTTTGGACGGTTTTTCTTGAATTGCTAGTAGTGTAATTTCCCAAATAACCAATTGCCCAGATAAATCCCCAAAAAAATATTCCCAGCTAAATTCGCATGTAGTACCTAGGGATTTTCCTTCAGATTAACATATGAGTTTTTCCTCATTTTCTTTGTTTGTTTACCTGCGAATTTTCTCACGGAAATGTACTTATTTCTCTACTAATATATATTAAAGTTACTGAAAAATTTAATAATGTTACTAATACATTTTGAAAATTAACGTTAAGAAAAATAAAATATACGAATATATTATAAAAATAATAAATAAAACAATATTAAGTTATTTTATTTATAAATAAAATACATAGTTAAAAATATATTATATAGTATATAATATCAAGGGTATAATAGACTTTTCTAGTAAAAATGTGACTTTTGTGATAACTAGAGCAAAGTAAAATAATTTTTGTGTAACAAAAGAAAGAAAAGTGACTTTTGTGTAATGAACACAAAGTTGAATGATTTTTACGTAACCAAAAAAAAAGTGATTTTTGGGTAACAAACACGAAAGTTCAATGACCATGGATAAAATTAACTCTTGTTTTTAGGGATAATACATAAATTCACCCCTGAACTTTGGCCAAATTTCTAAATACACCCTAATTTTTCAGGTGACTTTTGAGTCCCATAAAATACTCGGAAGTGAATTGTTACACCCTTTTGGCTGAACTAATGCAAGAGTGTAATCAGTCTCTTAAAGAGCGTGGAAAGTAGCAAAAACATAGTTTAAAATTTTAATGGAGCTAATATTTCAGCTCTTTTCTGTCTCTCCTCACTTTTTTACTCTTGACCGGCCAAAACTTAGTCGGAGAACACTATTTTCGGACCTAGTTTCATGTCCTCAAACCTCACTTCAAAACCCTCTATTAAAAAACTATCACAATGCCACCCTTTTCTTCACTGCAGACCGTAAATCTCTTGATTTTGTTAGGGAAGATATGATTTTGTTTGGGGGGTGTGGGTGGGTGGGGTGGGGGGGGGGGTGGGTAAACTAAAGAAAAAAAAACTGACGTTAAGTAATAGAGGATGTATTAATTTAAAAGTTTTAAAAAGAAAATTACAAGATATGTTTTTATTTGAAATCTATTCTTCTAGTTTTTTGAGATACAAAGTTATTAATAATCTTTTTAATAATCGATTTTCTCTAATAATTCCTTTTCAATTGATAATATAGCCAACTCATTTAATCTTTCTTGAGATATTGTTGGTTTCAGATAAGAGTTTATAGAGCAATTGAAAGTGTAAAAGTATTGTTGAACACTTGAACTAATCACATCTAGAAAAAGAAG